TGCCAGTGTTCTGCCTGTAGACTTTACTATGCATCCAAGAAAATGCTCCTTAACTTTAAAAAGACTTCCTCTTTGGCTTTCTCAGATGCTAAAATGCTGTGACTTTTACAGTACCTTGCAGAAATTTTAAGTAATGTATTTGTTTGTGGTGAATTGTTGTACTGAGGAAAAAAAAAACAAAAAAAACCCTGCCTGAAGAGCCCTCAGTATTCTGCCTCAAGGTCAGTGTAAGGCTTTTTTCCAGCGTCCTTGTTTTTCTCCCTTCTAGCACTCCTACCATTTTACCTGCTTCAAATATCCTCAGAAATAGTAACACTTAGCAGAGGCTGGAAAGATGTGTTTTGGGCTTAAAAAAAAAAAGGAAATTGCCTGCCAGGCAATGGCATGGTCCATCTTCAGAGTATATCCTGTATGTCGTGCTCTTGCCAAGATCATTTAAGTGTGGTAGCAGCTACAGTAGGAAACTTGCCACGCTTATAAATAAACAAAACAACTACACCACCCTACTGAGCTTGCTGAGCATTCAGGAGCTTGGTCAAGAGTGTTTTGTGTCAACACTGGCAGCCAGCAGGATTTCTGAGGCAGAAAAGTGGCTTTATTTCCCTTTGGAAGCATTGACTAGTTTTGTACATTTTGTCTCAGTGAAAACTTCTGTAGGAGCAGCGACAGTAAATCTCGCTTTTGACTTGGAAACCACTGTGAAAACATGATCTTGTGAAATCTTTCCCTGATAAATTAGTTTGGGGTATTTTTTTTGTTGGGTTTTGGGTTGGGGTTTTTTTGATCCCTAGCAGGTTTGTTGACTTGTTTCAAGCACAGAAAATTTATTGTTGCCTGAAATGTTTTCAGTCTTCTGTTTTGTTTTCTACACTTTAATTAAGTGTTTTTGCCCAGCCTGGTTGTGTATCAAGGTCCTGGGGGCGCAGCTCTGTGCTGCTCTGTGTCAATAGGAACCCGCTGTTAGGAAGCTGACATAAAAGTTCATTTTTCAGTCTCATAAGACCCCAAGGAAACTGTTGCTGATTCACCTACACATCAAAGTGACAGTCAGCCCTGTATTTCTGACTCTTTCCTGGGGTTAAAAATCTGCAAAACCATGTGGAATGCGAGTTCCCCATTTTATATTCATGCCACTTTGACCATAAAGTTAGGGTCATTAATTTAATTTTTTACTTGGAGTATATAAAAAATGTCATGCTGGAATCTCTAGGAATCAGCAAAGCTGAGGACTCTCACAGAGGGGTACAAAGTCATTAATTCATGTTTTCATTACATCACAGCTGGATTTTTGTAATTCCTTTTATAGGCCTTAGAGTCTGTGTATGGGTACCATCACTATCAAGGAGCTTAAACGTGTTTGATCGCCTTGTCTTCACACAAGACAGCAGCATGGCACCATTTTTACTTGCTCTGCATCCTTAAGGGGCTGTCAACAGAATTGTCAGTGTCAAGGCACTATCTAATAATAGTAAAAAGTTCTCTTCCCTCAGGAATACTGTCACGGTGATATGGGAGAGGAAGAAGCTAAAACTTCCAAGGTGATACAGTTGTTTGTAGGCAAGAGGCTAAGCCTGACCATGACTGGTACAGTGAGAGGAGGGATTTCTCTTTGTCTAGCCAAACCACACAACCAGAATCATAAAATCATAGAATCACCTAGTTGGAAAAGACCTCTGAGATCATGGAGTCCAACCATACCTGTCCACTACTAAACAATATCTCGAGCACCCCATCTACTCGTCTTTTAAACACCTCCAGGGATGGTGACTCAGGCACCTCCCTAGGAAGCCCATTCCAGTGCCTGATAACCCTTTCAGTGAAGAAGTATCTCCTGACATCCAATCTGTACCTCCCCTGGCGTAACTTAAGGCCATTGACTCTTGTTCTATCACCAGTTACCTGTGAGAAAAGACATATACCTACCTTGCTACAGTCTCCTTTCAGGTGGTTATAGACAGCAATTAGGTCTCCCCTCAGCCTCCTCCCCTCCAGACTAAACAACCCCAGTTCCCCCAGCCACTCCTCATAAGGCTTGTTCTCCAGCCCCTTCACCAGCTTTGTTGCCTTCTCTGGACACCCTCAGGTGATGATAATGCAATTATCATCACCTGAGGTCACTTAGGTTGTAATCCAAATTCAGCTATGCTTTGTAGCAGTGGTGGAAATCAGTTGATGTCCATACAGGGTTTCCAAATGTCTTTGTTCCTGGGAAACACTTTCTATCAGAGTAGTAGAAGTGCTATCAAAGGTGATTGAAAGGTCACTAGCTGCTTGCTGCAAAGCTAACCGGAG